AGGACAGCAAAGACATGTCCATCTGTAGAAGGCTGGTCAGGTTCGTTGGGTCCTGTACCTCCCTCCTTGCCCTTGGTGACAGATAACCCACTGATGACAAGTGCAAGAGTCTTTCCTTTGTCTTTCCCCAGAAGGAATAAGGAAGCTCATGGCTTCTTCTTTCCTCCCAGTGAAGCTGCTGAAAAGAGCCATTGCAGCAAAATGGGACAATTGTTGCCCTCCGCTGAGCTGCAAGGGAAAGCCTGGTGTCTCCCTCTTTTCTTCCAGCAAAGGCCTCCAGATTATAGGTCTCTCTATGCTTGCAGGGGTGTGTGTGTATCTTTGTATGTCAGGGAAAGACATTATGGATCTATGTTTGTGCATATAGATCTACCCTAAAGCTCCCCTACTTTGCCTTCTCAGAATCAATCCCATCTTCTTCAGCATATCTTTCAAATGTTTCAAGATGCTATCATAGACTTTCATTTTGTATCTTATATTCTCCAGGCAAAAGTATCCAGCTTTTTCCAACATTTCCTCTTAGGTCCAGCTTGGCATACTGTCAAACCCATGGTACCCTGCAATAGACACGGTAACGTAGTAAAGTTAGGTCAAAGCAGAATAGAACACTGCTCTTTCTTCTGGGTGTTGATTCACTTATTTGATTTATCCTTTCCTTTCATTCAGGAGCTCAAGGCAGCATATATCATGTTCCCACTCCTCTTTCTCCCTACAGCCACCACCCTGTGAGAGAGATTGTGCTGAGAGAAGGTGGCCCAAAGTCACCCAGTGAGCTGATATGTTGCTGCTGCAGAAGCCTGTCCACTTCCTCAGAACTAGGAAGATCAAACTCCTCCCAGATAACTGAGCCAGATTTATCCCCATTCACCTCCACAGAATCTGTTTCAAGGCTAGAGTCTAACCCAGCACAAATCCAAGCAACTTTATCTGTCAGATGCTGAGTATATTCCTCACAGCAGCCTTGCAGGTGAACCTCTGAACAACCCCTCCCAGGAGTGTTTGGGTCACCTGAAATAAGGCTGCCAGTTGACTATCCAAGGATGCAATAAGAACAGAGAAATATTTATTTTTTCATTATATTTATTCATCATATTTATATAGCTGCCCATCTCAGGAAAAAGTCACTCCAGGTGCATACAATAAAAACTGTAAAACAGTAACATCAAAAAACAATTAACAAATCCAGAGAATTTAAAAATTGTGATTAAAAGACAGAGGACAGCAGATATTAACTGCAATGGAGCCACCTCAGCAATTCACCAGTCCCTTGGGGCTGCCAGACCTGATGGCATAACCACATTTTGAGGGACTTCCAGAAACTTAACAGGGAAGGAGCCAACCTAACTTGCTGGGAGTTGATGTTCCATAAGGCAGGCACCAATATATTGATGTTTTGCCACTCTTATCACAATGAAGGTAGGCCCTAATAGTGGCTTTAACCTGTGTTCGGTCAGATTCACTCCGTGGTGCTCCAGGTGCTTCTCCACCTGCTTCATTTCCCTCAACTCCTCTGTAAAAACCAAGGGGATTTGCAGGATCCCTGGGTGAGGAGAGGCCATGTTGCACAATCCAGTCCAAAGCCCTGGCCATCTTTCATTCCAGGTGGCCACCAGGGCTCTTTTCGGACCTTGCAGTAGATGAAAACAACCCCAAATTCCCTCTGGAAGCCAACTGAGTTCATTCGTCACCTGGGGCAGACCAATCACATATGTCCAACCTCTCTGCAGTGGAGGGCAGCACCAGAGAACTACAGGGCCAGCAATGAGTGATCTGACTATGACAGGAGAGAAATAGAAGTCTCCCACAGTTCCAGATCACATTGCCACTGCTCTGATACAAAAACCAAATGACCCCTGTTATATCTCAGGACCTAGATGACATGGGACAGACCCATGGCTAGCATGGTGGCCATGAATTCTGAGTTACCTCAGACCTGCACCTAGGGAAGTCCCCTGGACCATAAACCTGAGGAACTCCACTGCCAACCTGGTCATGGAATCAAGGAGCGTAGGCAGGGAGGTTGCTATATAGCAGGAAGGCTGGTACAATAGCAACAATCCCAACTGTGGAGTCCTTGGGGTTCTCTGAGCTTGGTTGTTTTCTTGCAAATGTTTCATTACCCAGCTAGGTAACATCTTCAGTGCTTGAATGGGATGGGGTTTGCTCTCTGTTTATAGACTGTGGCCTGCCTTGCCAGTGCTGGTGGGGGTGGGGGGTTTGTTTTGTTCTATTGTTTTCCCTCTGGTAGTTCCTTGATTAGGGTATCGTTTACTGCTTGTATGTCTGGTGATAATCTTGGTGTTAATCTCTGCTTATCTGGGGGATGATTGCTGGTGAGGAGGTATTCTGG